GCGTGGCCCCGCCCCTCCCGCGCGCCATCGCCCCGCCCGCGCCTCGCGGCCCAGAGCCGGGGCGGGGCCGGCCGCCTGCGTCTGCGCCTGCGCCCGCGTCCGCGCCTGCGCACCGCAGCCCGGCTCGAGCGGCGCAGGCGCGCTGGGGGCCGGGCTTGCGGCGCCCGAGGCGCCGGGTCTGGGGTGGCCGGAAGCGGAACGGTCGCCTGCGGGGTGGGGGACCTAGCCGGCGAGAAGCGGCCCTCGGCAGTCATAGCCGTGGGTGGGGCGTAGTCTTCCCATTTTCAGTAAATATCCTTTCATTCTAAATAGGCATTGTGGCAGGCTGGCCGGAGGTGGAGAAAGACCCGAGGCTCCGACCCCTGACCTCTAACCCCGGACACACTTTGGTTTCGCCGGCCTTCGCGAAGGCGGAGTCCCTGAGTTGCGTCCTGGTGGGATGCCCCGAGTGAGGGTTCCCCGGGGCGGGGCGTTGCTCCGCTTATGAGGTGTGCCCAGCCGGGGGAGGGCGCCCTGGCTTCGGGAAGTGCCCCGGTTAGGGGCATGTCCCGACCGCGGGGTGGGGAGAGGATCCTGGTTAGGGAAGGTGCCCGACGGGGGGTACCCCGGTTGTGGGGTGCCACAGTTAGAGGGGATACCCCGGCTGGAGGGATGCTCCGGCTTAGGGCGGTGTCCTGAATGGGAGGGCGGCCCCGACTTGGGGGGAATGTCCCATGGGGAGGGTTGCCCCATTGGCGCGGGTGCCCTGCTGGATGGTGTGTCTGACTGGAGGCGGTGTCCCGACCGGGATAGTCGCCTGAACTGAGGAAGTTCCCCAGTTGGAGAGATGCCTACTGGGCGGGGGAGTCCCGTTAAGAGGTGTGCCCTCCCCGGTTACCCCAAGCTGCCTACCAGTCACACGCCTGCTGCGCAGGCATGCACAGGGCAAGGCCTTTCCCGCAGCCTTCACCGGACAGCGTCCCCAGAGTCACATAAACTGCCTTAGGCTGCCTTCTCCCTATGGTCAGACCTCCTTATCCCAACCCCGGGACCTAAAAATATAAGCATAGACTGAAATCTATGAAATCGAGCTTCTCTGGCTGTGTGAATCCGAGGGCTGGATGCACAGGAACTGAGGCAGCCCTGAGTCTTGACGGCTACCCGGGCCCCTTCCAGTGAGAGCTCAGTGTCATGGTGAGACAGACTCGGAAAAATTATTTCACTAAGTCTGGTATTGATGGTGCACACAGGTACAGAGGAGGAGATGGACAACCCTAAGCGCCAAAGAAACCATAGCAGGTTTCGCTAGGACAGCCGAACTGCTCTGTCAAAGGCTAAGTCAGTCTCTCACGGGCCAAGGACCCTTAGCCCTCCCAGGAGGCAGCGGTAGAGTAAGCCACCTCTCCACCTGCTTTGTCCCTTCCCCGAAACCTTTTGTCTTGGGTATCTTTGAGACTTGTTTCTTTACTGTTCTTGGGTCTTAAATATCACCTCTTCAGCGAAGCTTTCTGTCTCCTTCCTAGTCAAAAAATGATACTGCCCCCCAACTCCCGTACCTGTCTTCCTTGCTTTATTTTGCTCCATAGCGCTCTATGTCACCTGACTCTTACATCCTACTGGGGATAGTCTGTCTTCGCATTTGACTGTAATTCCACTGTTCTGTGTGCCCTAGTGCCTAAACAATACCTGGCATACAGGAGACAAGTATCTGTTGAATGGATAAATGAAGGAATTAAAATGTGAAGAAAAGTCCTTTACCAGGCAAACATCAACCATAAATGAACGTACTGGAAGTAGGCTGCAGGCAGCCATTTCACGCCCATTTTGCAGTCAGCTGGCCCCAGCCTGCCCGTGTGACCACTGGCCACTCATCACGTCAGGTGCTGCTCTCAGCACACGTGTTAACACTGTAAACTTCACATCTGTCCCGAGGCAGGTGCTGCTCTTACCCACGTGTTATGAGTGAGAGAACTGAACCAAGGGAGCTGAGAGCCTTCATGATCTTGCAGCTGCTGAGGCGGAGATGGGATTCAAACCCAGGCAGGCTTTCCTTTCAACCAGCAGGCGGTTCACAGATCATCCCACTGGTGGCATACTTTCTGCTTTTCTCCAAAATTCATGCTCCCCTTGTCCCGCAGTTAGTAAAATTTCAGCCAGGTACATGGCTGCCTGGCTAAAGACCACATTTCCAACAAGGGGGAGAGGAGGGAGGGCAAAAAGTGATATGATCCACTTTCCAGTCTGTCCCTCAAAAAGTTGGAGGTGCAGGCCGAATAGGCTGGGCGATGGTGAAAACTGGAACAGCCACCCGGGACCCAGGGGTGAAAGCCACTGCCTGAGAATGACAGCTGTGCCACCAGGTCTAGATCTGCCACCTCTGGACTGTTCAAGAAATAAACTTCTATCATGCTATTTAGGGGGACGGGGAGCACTTGACCTGTCCCCTAACAGTCCCATGAGCTCATCAGATAGATAAGGTAACTACACTCCTACCCACGGTCACCGCTCCACCCCATGGCGGAGCAGGGATTTGACCTGAGTCTGCAGGACGCGCCTTCGGCAACACGCCCTGTACAACCCTCGGGTTCACTTTGCCCTTGGGGCCTAGAGAGCAGGCCCTCAGGTTGTAGGACACGGCAGGAGAGGGCTTGGGCAGGGGGAGCCAGGCACAGCATGGGGGCAGCAGGGGCCACAGGGACAGACCAGCAGGCCAAAGGCGAAAACTGACGGGCGCAGGAGCAGCCCCTCACAGAGGCGGCTCTGATCAGCGCCCCGACCACGCCAGGCTCCAGACCTCCAGACTTCGCGGGCACATCCTTTCACCCTCTGGAGCAGCTGAGCGCCAGCCCCAGCCTGGGTAAAGGACCATGCGCTCCGACCCCCGGCCCCCAGAGGAGCCGGTGTGCCCAGGAGGGGAGGGGCAGTGTGAGGCCAGGCCACTGAGGCTGGAGGGCGCCCAGGAGGCTGGCCTCTGCCCAACTCTACAAACAAAGCCTTTATTTACTGAGTAGTCTCTCCAGGTCCAGCTCCCTGCCACCCCCGCCCTGCCCAGCCCAGGGAAAGGAGGGCCAACTCCAGGGCGCTGGCAGAGGCTGGGCAGGTCCTGAGTGCTCCAGGGCAGGCTGGGAGTGAAGGCACGAGGCCCTGGGCGCCCCAGTCCCAGAGCAGAGGCCAGGCCCACCCAGAGAAGGCAGCATGGAGTCAGTGCCCAGGGGTCAGCTCCTGAGGGTCAGCTCCTGGGGGTCAGCTCCTGAGGCATCAGGCCAGGTGTCAGCTCCCAGGGGTCAGGCCAGGGTCAGCACTGCCACAGCTCTGCTCATAGGACGGTGGGGCCTCTGCAGGGAGAGAGCAGGGTCTGCATGGGGTTCGTGGCATCCCCTCCCCACCAGGCCGCAGCCCCTCCACTCACCATCAGGGTAGCCCCACGTGCTGTACTCCGGGGGGAGGACCAAGGTGCTGGTGGTGGGCACCGCTTCCCCGGAGCCCTCTGCAAAGTAGGGGACAGTGGCACCTGTGGAGATGCACAGGGGAGGGGGCAGCGGGTGGGGGGCGGGGCTGCCATCCCGAGGACGGGGCTCAGAGGCGCCAGGCACAGAAGCCAGGGTGGCAGGCGGCAGCTGCTGCTGCGAGTGGCTCTTGGTGGAGAGGGAGACCGGGTCCAAGAAGTGGGGGCCAGCCGCCACAGCCTCAGCCTCCTCCTGGGGCGGCGCAGAAGGCACCGCTGGGGACAGGGCCCCAGGAGGCGGCCCCGGGCCTGGCAAGGGGCTCAGCGGGGCATGGTTCACAGCAATATTGCCAATGAAGACCGGGAGGGTCACAGTGGCTTCAGGCGCCTTCAGGGAGACCTGGGGAGGACCAGGGTTGGGCATGAGGGGCCAGGGCCAAGGCCACCGAGCAAGCCTCAGGCCACCCAGCCCCCGACAGCACCAAACCTGCAGGAAGTAGTCAATGTGGATGAGGCTGCAGCCCGGCAGGGCTGACTGGGGCAAGGCCGGCACCAGGATCTGCTCCCACCACTGCGCCCGCCTCCAGGCCTTGACACCTGCACCCTCCACCTCCGCGATGGTCCGCAAATCGTAGATCCAGCGTTTGGCCTTATAGGACACTTTCTGGGGAAAGAGCAGCCTGTGAGCCCAGCCCGGCCATAGCCCACCCCAGAGTACGGGCCCAGGCAACCTGAGTGGAGCTCCGACCTGCAGCAGACTGGCCACCACGGGGCCGGTATCTTTGCCCGACTGGTTCTCGATGTCAGCGCGCAGCCGCAGCACCTGCCCCACCACGTAGCCGCGGAGGTCGGTGCTGGCTGTGAGGACCACGCTGCCTGTCTTCACCAGCTTGTAGGAGAACTTCTTTGTGGCAGAGGCCACATTGGGTTGCTTGGAGGGAGGACCAGAGAGGGGCTTAGCAGGTAGGAGCAGGCTGGATCCCTGTGGCATCAGGACACGCCCACTCAGCCCTGCCACGCCCCCAGACACCAGCACCCTCAGCACCAGAGAGAGAGAGGCTGCCCGGTCAGACCCTGGCCTCTTCACCTCAGCTTGGGATGGGGCACTGGGGCAAAGCTGTGCCTGCCCAGCTCCCTCCCCCCCACACACACACACACAAGAGGGGGGACACCAAGGAGGCCACTGCTCCATCCTCACCTCGATGTCTGGGATGCTGTTCAGATTGAGGGGGCTCAAGATATAGAACACTCGGCTGCACTTGTGATCCTTGGAAAAACGTGGCGTGTCGATCGTGGCCCTCACCTGGTGCACGATCTTTCCAAAAGGCCCCTCAAAGGAGGTAGGTGCTGTGGCTGGGGAGAGAGCAGGGACTGGCACACAGCTGCCTCCCACCCTGCAGAGGAGCCCGCCCTCCCAGGACCAGCTGGTCAGCAGCAGGCCTGTCCAGGCCGGGCTCTCACCAGGAAGCAGGAACTGGAAGGGGAAGCTGTGTTCTCCAGCGGGCAGGCTCCCTGCGGAGACAGGGGGAGGTGGAGGAGACAGGCCTCAGGAAGTAGCCACAGGCCAGGACAGGAGTAGGCATCACAGCTGCCCAGCTCACCCTGAGCTGGGCTGCTGGGTCTCCTGGCCTCTGTCTGCAGCACCACAGCAGCACGGGCCGTGGCCTGGGCAAAGGAGTGAGGACTAGAGCTTGGCTTGAACAGGAGAGTGGTTTGGGATGGGAGCGGGGATGCAACAGCTATACCAGGGGTCAGAGCCCACCGAAATCCAGCACCAGGAGAAGGTGGCCCCTTCAGCCACCCAGCCTCTGTGAGCCAATGCCACAGTGCCTGCCAGTGAGAGACTCGTCAGGGCTCCAGCCCTGGGAGAGCGTGGGCCAGATCTGGGGAGGCGGTACCACTCGGGATAGGGGAGGGACTGGCTCCCAGACTCACCCTTGTCGGCCAGCGACAGGGAGCTGCTGAAGTAGCCCTCCTCCACCACCCAGGCAGCATCATTGGCCTTGTTGGACACCCCGCAGGAACCGGTACAGGTCACCCGGATGGCTGCAAAACAGGGAGGCAGGTGTGAGCTCAGCCAGCAGGTGGCCTAGGCCACTCCCTGCCCCCAGCACAGGAACTCAGGCAGGACTAGCAGCCCCACCTGGGTGGGGTCTTGGCAAGGCCAGTGAGCTAGAAGCCTGCCCGCCTTCAGAAGATACCTCCTGCCCATGCCCCACCTTCGGGTGCTCCGAGGGAGCCAGGCTGGTGAGAGGCCTGACAGGGACAGAGTTATATCTGTCCTGCAATCCAGAGCAGGAAGACCCCAGCATTTACCCAGATGACCCTTGGGCTCCCCGCCACATTGGTAACCCTGGCTCCCAGCCAGACCTTTGAAAACCCAGCTCCCTACAGGAGAAGCTTGGGACACCTCTGCTGGCCCACCGTCACACTGCCCTGCAGACAAGTCAAGCAGGCAGGGAGGCACTCTTCACACTCCAGGAAGCTAACTGCCAGCTTCATGCTGCAGGAATGTGGTTGGACCTGCCTGAGCAGAGCGTACTCAACAGTCTGGCGCACTGGAGGGCGGGGCCCTTGACTTCCTGGGCCAGGACTGCCCAGGAGGGCTGACTTTCTGCATCATGCGATGTCTTGGTGCCCAGTGGGAGTGCCCAGACCAGGAACTATTCGCAGCAGAGGTTGCTGCTGTTCTGCAGTCAGGAACATGAATTCCTCAGTCCAACAGACATGTTTCCAGAGCCCACTGTGGTCAGAAGACCATGGCTGGACAACCAGGTCCGGCTGAAGCTGGTCATGAAGGGGACACATCCAGCAAAAACCACACCACTGTAGGAGACTCAAGCAGGGGTGTGTGGTGGGAGCCAGAGACAGGTGCCTGCAGCTCCACCCCTCCTCTCCAGGAAGCGCTGAGTCAAAGCCAAAGACCACCTACCTCCCTGCCCAGTCCTCCTCCCAACTTGATGGGGATCACGGGAGGGGAGGGCATCTCAGACTCTGACACCCTGCTGAACAGCTGCCAGGCAGAAAGTCTAGAGTGCCCAGGGTCAGCCACACCTGCCTCACCTGTGGCCTCCCCAGACAGCCCCACCCGTGGCCCAGGCCTTCTTTCGGTTACCACAGAGGACCAGGCTTCCTCTCACGCACTCTTGGCCCATCCCCAGCCCCGAGTGGCTGTCCGCATGCTGCCAGGCCCCTTTCACCTGGGGAGGCCTCTGCTTCCGGCTGTACCTCCCTCGGCCCTGCCAGTGACTGGCTTGGCCTCCATTCCAGCCCCCCCACCACCACAGCCTCAGGCCTCCTAGGGCCAGACCCACATTGTTCCTATGTTGGGGATTGAGAACACTGGTGGCACTCCTGCTGACCAGGGCACGAGAACAGCACAGGGAAGGGTACGCACAACTGACTGATAAGAAGACTCCTGGGGACTTCAGATGCTGCACATTTTTTTTTTTTTTGGAGACAGAGCCTTGCTCTGTCACCCAGGCTGGAGTGCAGTGGCATCATCGTAGCTCACTGCAGCCTCCAACTCCTGGGCTCAAGTGATCCTCCTGCCTCAGCCTCCCAAGTAGTAGCTGGGACTGCAGGTGTGCACCATGACGTCCGGCTAATTTTTCTATTTTTAGTAGAGACAGGATCTCACTCTTGCTCAGGTTGGGCTCAAACTCCTGAGCTCAAGCGATCCTCCTCCTCGGCCGCCCAGAGTGCTGGGAGTACAGGCGTGAGCCACCGCGCCCGGCCAAGATGCTGTACACTTTAACCCTCCCCTACAGAAGGGGCACATCCCCCTTGAATCCTGCAGCCCTGTGGATGCTGGGACCCACAGAGGACGCCAGCAGGTGCAGCGGTCCCCAGACTGGCCAAGTGCCACCAAGTGACCCCAACCCATGGCACAGACCTGAGGATTGGCCCTGTCCACAGCTGTCCACACTCACCCACAGTGTGGTGAGATATCACAAAATGTCTGTGTTAGCTGTTTAGGAGTGATTTGTTACCTGGGATGACTTTTACACAGCAGTAGATAATTGGAACAGATGTCCAACCTCACTAGAAATTAGGGAAAACCCCAATGATTTACCATTTTAACCCTTCAGATTGGCAAATGTTAAATGTTTTGACATGCATTGGGGAGGAGGTCAAAAAACAGGCACTTCCGTATCCGGATCAAACTGTAGTCCGGCATGGGGCCCTGGAGAAGAATGGGGTGGAGCTACCGTAATTTTACCGCATACCAGGAGACTCCACAGTTCTTGGAATCTCACACTATTTAACCAGGAGCGTTAAGTAGCACTGCTCATAACAGCCAACGGTCTAGGCACAGCTAAACCATCAACCGCCCAGCCTGGACCCAGCCCCCTGAATTCAGGCGAATGAGCATGGAGGCATCTAACTCCTGAAAAACACAGTATCCAACGGACCCCTGGGTAATCCCAGAGGGGCCCAGGCTCTGTGACCTTCCCAACACCCAAGCAAAGAGCTCCATTTTGCACACACACCAAGGCTCCCATGGAGGACCCTGCCAGAGTGAGCAGCCTCCAACCATTTTCCAAAGTGACTCCTGTCCTGCCCTGCCCCCTGTCTGCTCAGCAGGGTCGGTGGAGGCACAGGGTTCCCTGCCAGCATGCCTGCCCCTTCCTCACCAAAAACACCTGAAGCTGTTCCTGTGCCTTTCAGCAGCTGTCTCAGGTCACGCTAGGTGAACTCCCCAGGGGGCCAGTTTTCATGGTCAAGGCCCATGACAGTGGCCACATTTTGCCTTCTCAGATTGGCGAATCAGGCAGGGTCACAGGACGCAGTTCTGCCCAGGAAGAAGAGGGGAATCTGTGGGGTGTGTTGGGGAGGCTCCTTGCTCCTGGAGAAGGGCACACCGCATTGCTCCCTCCCGCTCTCCCAGCTGGCAGATTCGCAGCTGGAGGAGCCTGGGCCTTCAGCAGCAGGAGAGGGCCAGGCAGGACTCAGCTGGTGGTCAGCAAGGCAAAGACCCTGACTTCCTCCACCTTCTGAGTTTTAATAATTGAGCCTTATGGTAGTGACCCTGCAGCCCCAGCCCTCCTCCCCCATGTGGGGTACCTGCTCCTGGAGGTAAGCAGAGTGATACACCCTGCAGTGCCATCCAGGGTGAAATGTGTTTCCTGAGGGTGTTCAGATGCGTAACGAAAGACAAGCCAAGCACTGGTGTCTTGTCCTTGTAGGAGGTTTGGGGCTGCTTGGGTTGTGTTCCAGAGTGATGTCTGCAGCTGGGACTCCCACCTGTCCAGCAGCTCTCCCCTGCACCATCTGTACCTTGACCGCGAAGACCCCCACTCGCTCATCTTCACCCCAGAGGTCTCACGCTGGGACCACCCTGCCAGCTCCCACAAACCAGGAGCAGTCTAGCCTTTGCCACACACTTTTCCACTAAAACTGTGGCCCGGGAGCCACTCTCCCACTGTCCTATTGCCAAATCTGTGTCATGAGAAAAATAACAGCACCCACCTCCCAGGGTGCTATGAGGACTAGTGAAGCTGGTCCATGGAAAGTGGAGAGAACTCTGGGTGGCCCCCAGTGAGTCACTGTCTGCCCTGTCACCCACCCCAGTAAGAACAGAACACAGGGCAGCCCCGCCTTAGGCCCAGCCCTGGGCTAGGCCGGACCTGGGCCCAGAAATTGCTCCTTCCTCAGCTTCCTTCCATGTCAGCTCTCGAGGCAGCCAGTGTCCTCGTGGTGGAGTGCTGGCCATCTCTGTGCTCACTGCATAAGCAGACTGGGAACCCCCAGGGCAGGCCTGTGTCTACCTAGGGGGTGGAGGACCTCCCTGCTACATCTACTGACTCCTAGCAGGAGCTCAACAAGTATCTTTTGAATGAAGGAACAAAAGAACCATGGTCCCTCTTTTCCCATCCCAGGCAGGGCTGGAGGAAGCCCCACAGCAGCACCTGCACTGACACCCCCCCTCCCCCAGCAACCTGAGTAATCCACTCTCTGGCCTGTAGCAGCCCTTCACCCACTTCCCAGCCCATGACCCTGCCTGTCCCTCCTCCACTCAGACCTGGCTGGCGCTTCTACAGGTGGGACCATCCGCCTGGGCTCCCTCAGGCTCCTGAGGCCCAGCAGCCCTCCCACCCGCCACATGGAGGAAGGGGAAGTGGGGGGCTCTGACCAGCCCAGGCCATCCCTTCACTGTGGTCAGCAATGGCTGTTTGCCCCACGCCCAGCATGGGGACAACAGGACAACCAAGCCGGGCTGTGATCTCTGCAAAGGGCCTCCGTCCTGCCAGTTCTGTGGCCCCACATCCTTCGCTCTCCTCTGCCAGGATCTAGCCCCCATGTCACCTCTCACACCTTGCTGTGCCCCAGGGAAGTGTGTTTGTGCTGTCTCTGCTGCGTCCCCTGCCATAGCCACACCTGCCCCCTCAAATGCCAAACTCCAAGGGATGACACAGGAAAGGAGGCCCCCTGAGGCCAGCGCCAGACAGAAACACCTGCCACCCTAGACCCCCGCAGCCCCACACAGTGGTGAGGTTGGCGGCAGAGCACCATCACTGAGTCCCTGGCAGTGGCACTCAGTCCTCAGCAGGCCCCAGAAGTGGTGCCATCCATGGTGCAGAGGCCCAGTGGTCAAAGTCAGAGGCAAGCTTGGTGGCTGTGGTTGGGCCAAGCAGCCCAGGTGGTGCTCACAGGAAGACAAGGTAGAGAAGCCCTCAGCAGGAGGACCACACTAACCTTGCACTCAAAGCCAGGGACCAGACAGAGGCCACAGGTGCTGCCCACCCTGCCCTGAGGGCCCAAGCCAGGAAGTCTCACGCAGGGCCCTATCCACTGGAGGCAGCCACGCCTGGACGGGCAGACGAAGCCCGCACCTCCAGAGTCCCCTATCGGTGGCCACTGCAGCAACCTGATCTCCGGTCTCAAAGTCCCAGATGCCTGCATCAGCAAAGACGTTGGCCAGCGGGGCTCAGGCCAGCTCTCAGAGCCTGCTGGGCTGGGGGCGCGGCTGGGAAGAGCCGGCCCCCACAGCCTGCAAGGACGAGCCTTAGGCGGAAGGCAAGCAGGTGCCCGTGCATCCTGCTAGGAGACCCTCGCACTGCACTCCGGCCAGGAGCGTGGGTGTGCGGGAGGGGGAGCCCAGCGCAGACCACGCTCCAGGTGAGAGCCCCGCAGGTGCAGAGCGCAGCCGAACCTGCGCACCCGGACGGGGAAGGTCGGAGGCCTGCATGTATCCGCGCTCAGCAAGGCGGACAGGCTCGGGACCCCCGCCCCGGACTCCGGCCGCCCCCAGGCGAAGAGGCCAGGAAGGGGCAGAAGCGGAAGGACTGGGCCTCCCAGACCTCCCTGCCCCGCCCCAGCCGCCGCGGGCTCCACCCCGGCCCTCCCCACAGACCCGCGCCTCGCGGGCCGGCAGCCGCTTCCGGGAGGGCAGGTGCGGCGCGGCCGGCGGCCCTCCCCGCGGGGACCCCGCGCCCACCTCGGAAGGGCAGCGGCGCCCCCAGGCGCACGCGCACGGTCCCGGCCAGCGGCTCCCCGGGGCTGTAGACTACGCGGCCGTGGCTCAGGCGGATCTCGAAGAGCTGCACCCGCCCCATGCCGCGGCCTCGCCGGCCCGCCGCGCTCTGACGCGCGCCGCCCGCGGGCCCAGCGCGAAGCCAGCCTCCCCCGCCCCGCGGACCCGCCCCGGCCCACTTCCCCGGCCCTGCAGACCCGCCCCCGGCCCGCCTCGCTCCGCCCCGCGGACCCGCCCACGGCCCGGCAGACCCGCCCC